TTCCCTAATTAGCTCCAAATACTCAATTGCTTTCTGGACCATTACTGAAGCCTGAGCACACATCTCTGTCCAAATACAGAGCTCAGACACTCATCACTGCAGAGTGAAATTTGAGTTCTTAACCACGTGCTTCACTCAACATCAGCTGCACTGAATTCACCTTTCTATCCAATCCTCATTAGCCTGAGGAAATCAGTCTGGGCATACTTCCCTGTGCTAATCCAGTGCCTCTCTTAAACCACACACAGGAACGCTTCCAGCACAGCTCCCTGCAAACTCCTGGAAAATGCCTGTTTACTCTTTTCCCAGCATCCGCAAGCACGTAGAAGGGCTTCCCTCTCCCTCCAGGGATCACTCATTCAGGGGCCCTAAAAGCCTCCAGCACCAAAATCTGCCAAATGCCTTTAGGAAATACAACAAACCTTCTCATATCCCTGTGGAATCCTTTAGAGAACTCCTCAGGTCTTGAGCCAGAACTTGTCATTAAACACCACATTCATCCTTTCCATAACATGTATCCATGGTTTGAAATCCATGATTAGAGTGGTTTCCCTTGTACACAGGTGTATCTCACTGTTCAGAGTTCCCACAAACCCATGTTTAGGACAGATATCAGGTTGTTGCCACCTGCCAGAGCTCTCACCCGTTAGCAGTACCTGTCCTGCTGCTGTCTCCAATCCTCCTGGGCACATCACAACCCCCAACACCACCAGTATCTTTCCCAACTAAGGATTTGGATTACAGAGAGTGGATTATTTTCCTTGTTTGCCTCTAAAACGTCTTTAACACCCAATACAGCTCAAGATCACCAATGACCAGGATTCCTACCTAGCAACTGAGATGAAAAAAGAGTTTCAGAAGTTGCAGAGGAGTATTTCAGCCTCGGTCATTTTACATGCGATGAATACAGAGCAACATTGATGGGAACAGTCAGAATCCTGCAATTTCCACCTTCGTGAGGTGGCCAGAGGGAAGCAGCTTCTCACAACAGGCTGAGACGAGGAGACCTGGAGTCAGTGCCAAGAAAGGTGGTACATGATATTCAAGGAGCACAGGGCTGCTCAGAGCAGAGATCATGGCAATCTTTATTTGAGAGGAGCAATCTTTAATCAACCAAAACTTAAAGCCTTCCCTAAACACCGAGACAGTAAACAAGAATGGAAGTTTACTTAATTTTGTATAAAGCCTGAAGCACTAGGGCTGAAAGGAGCTCTGCGCACACTGACCTCATACTGGAACTCATCTGAAAGTAGTGCAGCTGTGTGGAAACAAGTGAGAGCTTCTTGAGAAATGGAGGCACTTCCATGCCTTCAGTGCACCCTCAGTGGGCAAGCAGAAAAGCAGTTGAAATGAGACATCAGTGAGCAACAGCTGCGTAGAAGGAAACTACTGTCTTCTACCCAAAAGCAGTACCTACAGCTCCTTTCCATCATCACTCCCTGGCAAGGGCAGAGCTCCTCAGGAGGAACTTCCAAACCTGTAACCTGTGCCTGGCTTAGAACCATGTGACTGAGCCTCTGTCTGCAAGGGAACTCCAGATGAGGTGGTTCAAATCTAGTGGGATTTGCTGATTTCTATGAGTTTCCCAGTGTAGGGGCTGAACTCCTGTAGAACAGGTGAAGTCACTGGCACTAGTGTGCCTTTTGGTCTCTCTCTTGCAGGTGCCTCAGAAGCAGCACAGGTGACTGCTGTGGTTAGAAGCCCTTGGACTGATTTGAGAAATTCCATTTTCTATCCAAGCTGATCACTTTGGAGTCACCATCCCCATGGGAACAGCTGCAAGTCAGGGCAAAAGAGCAGGAGATGATTTCTGAGTTATATTGTGGCAAGTAAACTACTGCCTTTTTGGTACTGGACATACAAAGGGTACTTATGCCTACCTACAGCAGAAACACCACTCTGGAGCAGAAGTGTGGAGAGAGAGGCTTGTACTGCCAGAACAGACTAGTGTGCAGCAGGACACTGGTGCAAGACTTAAGGCAAAATACGAGTGATTGACATCCAAGAGCCACAAGAGTAAATATTGTAGGATGATTTGAGGGCTCAGACAACATCACAACACCAGAAAGCAGAGCTGGAAAATATCAGCAAAGGGATAGAGTGCATTCTATATTTGCATCTCATGTTACTTGTCAGTTTGTGTGGTTACAGAACACTACAAAAAGTTGGTTTCTTAGTCTCTGCCTCGGGCCAGACCTGCAGAAACATCATCATCAGGTCTGGATGTCTGTGATCCAAAGTGCAGCTCAATACTTCACTCCTTAGGAGCTTTCTGGGAGGTAGGAACCAGCAATGCTCATGTCAGACTAGAAGAGAAAACAGAAAGGAGGTTTAGCTGTGCCAGGGAGTGCAGAAGACACTTCAAAACATCAGCAGAGTCAGTTCTCCCCCAATAGAAATTTCCCTTCCTAGAAGAGAAGGGCCTAGGAAAAGAGGGAAGCAGCTGTTGCAGCTCCTAACAGCAACCACAGCAACAGACCGGTCAAGCTGGCAAAGGCAAAACACACATCCAGCCTGGCCCAGGTAGTGATCAACATCTCAGAGCAAGTTTAATTATGGCTCTGATATGCTCAGAGTCATCAAGGCTTTGCTACCAGAACTGTATGGGGGCAAAGAACTCTTTCGAAGTGCTCAAGAAATTCTTCACGCCATAAACCATTCTCGTATTTTCTTATGATACCCGAGAACTCAGCTAGTAAGTCACAATGCTCAGGTCGCCCAGGAACACACTTGTAGCACCACAGCAATGATCCTCAGAGCTGTAACCAGATGAAAGCCCAAATGCAGTTGCACAGGACTTTGGCCTGTGCCTAAACCTTGCAGAACAATGTGCATACACTGATGAATGGGGAAGGCCTAGATCACCACCACTCCAGGCAGAAAACAAAATCTGCCTTACCTTAAAATGTAACTTGGACAAAGCCTCTGACAAAAAGGCTTTAAAATAATTCAAGTTAGCAGTTTTAATTAAAAAGATTTAAGGCAGCAGCAGCTGAAAAACTCCAAAGTGTTTCTGGATCCAGAAATGGTTGCAGCAAGCATCTGAAACAACTTCAAATTCAATCCAAAAGCTCAAGCAAAGTCACTGGAATTTTAACTTTGGAAACAAGTTTTGTTTAAAAAAAACGTATTCATGTCATAGCTAAGCACTGCCCAGGTAGGGGAAAAAACTGACAGTTGAAACATGTTATTTCCTACAAATAGGAACAACTGCAACAAACCCTTACACCTTCCACACACAACTGAGCAGTCCAAACAGCTACAAGAAAACAAACCCAATGAGGTAACTGCTGCCAGTAACCAAATCCCCATGAGCTCAGTGCATGCTCACAGCCCAAAAACCAACCCAGTTCTGGGCTGCATCCACAGGAGTGAGGTACCAGGTGAGGGAGGGGATTTTTTTTGTGAGGCCCCACCTGGAGTGCTGCACACAGTTCTGGTGTCCCCAACATCAGAAGGACATGGAACTGTTGGAGCAAGTCCAGAGGAGGCCACAGAGCTGATCAGAGCACTGGAGCAACTTCCCTACAAGCACAGGCTGAGAGAGTTGGGGCTGTTCAGCCTGGAGAAGAGAAGGTTGTGTGGAGACCACAGAGCAACCTGCCAGGAGCTGAAGGGGCTCCAGGGAAGCTGCAGAGGGACTCTTGGTCAGGAAATGCAGGGACAGGACAAGGAGCAATGGGAAGGAACTGAAAGAGGGAAATATAGATTAGCTATCAGGAAGAAGTTTTCCCTCTGAGGGTGGTGAGACACTGTCCCAGGTTGCCCAGGGAGGCTGTGGCTGCCCCAACCCTGGCAGTGTTCACAGCCAGGGTGGCTAAAGCCTTGAGCAACCTGCTCTGGTGGGAGGTGTCCCTGCCCAGGGCAGGGGGTTGGCGGCTGAATTAAAAATGACAATTACAAAAAGATCAATCAACTGTGAAACCGTCTGGTTTTATACCAAAACATTGCCCATTTTGCTGGTGACTCTACACAGACCTGGATCCTCCTTACCTGTCAATCAAGGAATCTCTCATGTTGGTAGCAATGGTGCTGGGCTGAGCCTCATTGAGCCTGAAGATGCTCTCGATGACAGAGAGCTCTGTGCTGGTGGTGTCCAGCCCGCAGAAGGCACACCAGTCGTTGACCACCATCCCTGCGGCGATCACCTCACTGCCGCGGTTCACCGTCCCTGCCTGCACAAACACAGCGTCAGCCCCACACCACAGCTCAGCACACCACTCTGGGCAGGGCTCAGCTTGTCCTCCTGGGAAGGGGAAAGTTTCTGTCATCAGCACAGCTCTGAAGATGGCAGATAAAATGATTAATGAACAGCCTCGTGAAGAACTGGGGTGGGAATTGGTGAAATAGGATCCAGCAAGAAAGAACATAACAGCACAGCAACTGTGGCATTCACACAGCCAACTGAGCAGGCATGGGGGGTTAGGAGCTCACTTTGCAATCACTGCCTTCAGAATCTCACATTCTCTATGCCTCAATCTGTACAATCACAGCAGAGCAATATTTCAGGAGCAAACTAACTAAAAGCACTGAGTAGCTTACTGAGACTCAGGAAAGACAGCGACCTGCCTCAGGGGACTTGCCCTGTTCAAGTCTTCTTATGTCCCACCTGAAACAGTTATCTGGGAGACCATGAGATGGAGAAACAGCACTGGGCTGGGAAGGGTAGAAAGAGCAAGCACATCCTCACAAACGCCTTACCACGAGTGGGACTTGGAGCAATGAGGACAGTTCATCCTGGTCATCGATGGAGGTTTTGGGGTGCACGATTCCTCCTTGGTTACTGAACACACAGTAACTTCCTACCAGCACCTGGTCTGCCACTGTTTGCCTGAACACTTCCACCTTCAGTACATCTGCCAAGATCTCTTCTGTCTCCTGCAAATGGTTAGAGAATAAAGCCCTCAGCACAATGGTGTTGTGGAACTGGAAGTTGAGCTAGTCCTGCAGGCAGCCCCCAGCTGGGACCCTCTCACACTGCGTAACTCCCAACCTCCATATTCCACATGTTCCCAGTTTCCTGTGCATTATCAACCCTGTGCCTTTGCTGAGAAATGCCCAAATCCCGTCTTGCTGTTGGCAGTGCATCAGTTGTGCCAGTGCCTGTCTGGCATTCCCAGGGAACCAATCTGTCCCAAACCACTGGGACAAAGTTGTCTTATCTTTCTGCATAACTCTAACAACCTCCTTCCCCTCCAGATTTCACTGCAAACTTCTCTCTCTCTCTCTGGCTATCTTAACTAATTTTTTACATTTACTTAAAACCTATTATACTGCAAAGTTCACTACCTCCCTCCACCCCTTATTTTTCCTCTTTGCACTCCTAACACCAAGTTTCATTTCCTCACGACCTTTAGCATAAGCTGTGAGTAAACACTGTAAGGACCTGCAGCCACACAACAAACCTCTCCCAATGCTATTAAGATATCAGTTCTCACACAGAAAGTAGCAGCAGCTTTGTCTCTTCTGCCTTTCCATTTCTTTTTCAGCCCCTGGAAACATGGACATCCATGGCCTCTTCCAACTGTTACAGATCTTAGCTAGCTCAGCTGTAGTTTGTACCTCCAGCTGCAGTGCTCGTTGGTCTCTTTGTGCTCTCCCTGTTACACCCATGCCCGCTCCAATCCATTCCATTTTACACACCCAAAGCAAACTGCACCAAATGAACCCAGAATGGTTTGGGTGGGAAGAGACCTTAAAGCTCATCATGGACAGGGACACCTTCCACTAGCCCAGGTTGCTCCAAGCCCTGTCCAACCTGGCCTGGAACACTTCCAGGGACAGGGAAGCCACAGCTACTCTGGGCAACCTGTGCCAGTGCCTCAGCACCCTCACAGGGAGGAATTGCTTTCCAATATCCCATCTAACCCTGCCCTCTGGCAGTGATAAGCCACTCCCTGTGTCCTGTCCCAGGAAACACATCCACACCCCACTCCTTCCTTTCTCCAAAGCACATTCCCCAGAGCTGAACCCGAGGCCACACTCCCAGCCCATTGTGAGTGTGATGTGTCACAGAGCCCTGTACCCTGTCCAGGTCTGGGTGGACCAGCGCCACATAGTCATTGCAGGTAGTGACATTGCCCAGGGCTGACAGTCGCTCCTCCACACGCTGGATCCGCACTGAGTCCGGGAGGCTGTTGCGGATGTGCTGGAGCTCCTGGTCTGTTGTGCTGCTTGGGACCAGCAGCCCATGTCTATTCCCTGAAATGGCAAAACAGACAAGCAGAAGGAAGGAGAAGAGAAAAAAAGGGGAAAGGGGTTGGGAAAAAGAAAGAAGAGAGGGGGAACAGGAGGAGAGGGAGAGGGAAGAGGAGAAAGGAAAGAAAAGAGGGGTGAGAGAAGAGCGGAGCATGGAATGTTCCCACAGGGCATCCTTCTACTTCCCAGCTGCCCATACGTGGCTTGAGCTGCCCTTACCCTGTCTGTCCCTCCCAGAATTCAGCCCAGGAGATTTGTAACCATTTAAAAAAACCCAGCACCACACGGAAGGAAAAACCAGGCTGTAGCACAGCCTGTGGGTGCATGGCACTGTCTCCAATCACTCCTCTTTTCCAACAGGACTAAAGGAGCCTCCAGTGAGACATTCTGAGTAGGAACTTCCCCTGAAGGTACCAAGTGCTCCACAGGAGGTGCAGGTGCTACTTATGTGCCTACGGCAGCGAGGTGGGGTGGCTAAAGGGACACAAAACCAGTCTGCCTGACCGGGCAGGCCTCAAGTGGGAGGCTTTCCCCTGACTGGGTAACGCCTGTCCCTGGCCAGCTCTGCCCTGAGGAACGCGGAACAGCTTCTCCCGGCAGTGGAAGTTTCCCCATTTCCCCCCTCCTCACATGCTGGAGGCACCACAATCACCCGCTCCGCGCTGCCGGCACGGCTCAGCCCGCGGCGGTCACCCTCCCCCTGCCGTGCCGGGCCGGGGCC